CTGTAGCTATGATACTACTGACTGCTCTGAAACACCTTCCCCAACCTTGAGCCAGATGTCTGCTGTGTCAGATGGCACCACCTTAACCAACACTGCTGCCACTTCTCATGTAATTATGCTTCCTTTTTTCCTCCTCCATTTTGTTCAAACAGGTTGTCAGAGGGGAAAAGAATTCAAACTTATCTGTTATCCCATTACACAGACAAGTATTCCATTAGTAGTTTTCTGTGTTCGCAGTCTGACAGTGTATTTTGCAATGGTTGTTAAAAAAAAAAAACAAACATTGGCATAGCAGATTTGGTAATAGAAAAAAGATACTAAGTTTCTGCACAGTTGTGTGGTCAGCTAAGGTGTACCAAATACTTTGCTTAAAATAAATGAAAAAAAAATCAATAAATATCTGTTCCAAATGTATTAAAAACAAGAAGTCTGTAGAGTTTTAAGAGAGCTGTTTAAAATATTGTTAGCAACGTACAGGTTTGTGGAGTTTGTAGCCTCTGGCCTACCACTGGTTTTGGTTTATACTGAGGTACAGATTTCAGTAATATAACTTGTAAATTTGTAGTAAATATTGGCAATATTTAACAGAGTTTTTTCCCCAGCCATGACCACTGACTGCACAAAACTGTTTTTTCTCTCCTCTGACTAATCTTTTCCTCTCCTAAGGGCAGTTTTTTACAGGATCGAACTTCATAAATAATCTTGTAGTACCCAAGTGTCCTGTTACTTCCCTCTTGGTTAAGTCAACCAAAAAAACAGCATGCAATTAGACATTTTATACATACATTCACTTTTCTGTACCATAATACACTCCTATATGGGTAGAAAAAAGGAATTTGGGTCAAATCCAGATAATTTCTTATTTCTTTTGAGATTATCTGCATGATTAAAATGAGTCGGAACAAAGCCTTCATTTAGATTGAGCAATTTGTTGCTGAATTACAACATAGAGAGGTGTTCTGAGACCAAAGTTTTACTGGGTCACAACAGTGTTCAGACTGTGTACAAATATTTCAGCATGCTATCATTTTCAAGTCTGAAAACAACAAACAATGTATATCTTTTTGAAGTCTCATGTGTATTTTATAAAAAGTATTTAGAGCCCAAACTTGCACATAGTCACCTGGAAAGGCAAGGATCTGTTGTCAGTGCTCTGGATGCTGCTAGAAAAAATATTAATAGTAACAGGCATATAAAAGCTGTCATTTTTAACTCTTGCAACACAGCTCTGAAACTTTTTTTTTTTTTTTTTAAGAATCAGTACTGTGAATATGTGTACATCTCAGTAGTTGTAACCAAAGATACCATAATCAATATAGATTGGTATGTGCAAATAAGGCACAATCACTACATGACCATTTACTAGCTATGGGAAACAAGGAACATGTATATTTTTCTTCTAACCCACTTCTAAAATACTCAGCTGGCTGTATTTGTTTTCTTTGAGTACCATTTTTATAAGCTAAAGTGAACAGTCCTTCCTTCTCCTTTTTTGGGTAGTCTCCCTGTACAGGAATATGTTATGGTCAGGTCTGACCAACACTTTCTCTCTTAGACATGGCAGGGATGAAAATAACAGTTGTTGACCATTAATGAACATAGTTGTTGACCATTAATGGTCAAAGAGAAAGAATAAGTCTCCCACCAACTGACAAATCCCAAAACAGTCCGAAAAGCCCCACAGAGCTGGCAAGACCCACCTCTGCAGTGCAGAAAAGTCTTTGTCTCCCATCCTCTGTAGAGAAGGGCCAGATGACTATAATGTATCTGTGAAATGAGAAAACGATGGGGGAAGCTGGTGGCGTGCACACGTGTGCTGCTAGTGACTCTACTCCTGTAATGACCTTCATTCTCAAAGGAGACTCCTGTTGGTTTTGTAGTTGAAAACCACTGAGAGAACAATAAAAGTATTGAATTATGCCATCCAGCACTTTGCCCACATGAGACAGAACCATGCTTTCTAAGACATTATGTCCACATTGGGAATGGTTGTTTATTCTTGAGATCCTTAACAAGAGCTTAGGCAAAAAGATTTTACAGCAGATCTTCTGAGAAGAAGAAACAGCATCAGAAAGAGCTGAATCAACAAAATTGTAAAATATTCTAAGCAAAAGACAGAGCTAAACATAAAACTGTGGTTAATTAGCTATAATTTTAGTCACAGATTACAGCTTCTTTGAAAACCTGAAGTATGAGAATTGTAATTCTTATTTGGGCCTATGCTTAGAATTGGAGTTAACATCAGAAAACAACTGGTTTTGGAAACTATTTTTTCTGATTCTATTCCAATTATGAACATTTCCCTTATAAAGTAATTTTATAATAAATGGGTTCTTTTTTATTATGTAGTTTAAAATTGTGGAATCTAATGGAAACTTGGAAATGGAAGTGCACATTAGATTTTGCCCTTTCCTAAGTTCCAGGACTGTCTTAAGCTTCCAGAATTGATCCTCAGTATTTTAACCTAATTCAGTGTTTTGAAGCCAAGGGTGTGCTGTGCAGTGTTGTTGCACAAAA